CCGTAGTATAGTATGCTGTCATTACAAGACGCATGGTTCTTTAAAAGGCCTATAATATGCTACTTTCTGTTCTGTGTTATAATGTTGTTTCTTCATTAAAAACATACCTGGATTTGTGTTTTGTTTCATTCACATATGTTTAACATACAAACCCGGCATATTTAGGCTGGGTTTTTCTCTCAGTCAGAAAACACTCTTTTCAACCTTGTGATGTTGATGTTGTGATGTGGTTATACAGGAAGTCCACTAAATTCCACACACCTTCATTAGAATCATTTGGATAATTTCAGGCCTGGAACTGCCATTGCTATTTCTTCTGAATTAAATGTAAAAGGTAGCTATTAACTCGAAAACTACCACTACGTGACATCACAAGGTGGAAGAGAAAATTTTAAGCTCTGGAGATATAGCCAGACTAATAAACCAGGATTACTGTGTAAAAAAAACAAAACCCACCTTCAGATATATTTTTGAGGAGGTAACAGCATGGGTAAATGCTCACAGGAGTACATTTTGTGTAATACAAGATCTTTAACTTTTGCACCAAGCAAAACTTTTCAAATGTGCGCGATCTGTCTATATACAGACCATAAGACCTATGTGTCCTCCATGGGAAGATTAAGATGATGGCAACCCAGGGTTAATTGTGACTGTAATACATATTTTAAACCAGTAAGTGCATAAGTGAATGGATATAGTGCTGGATTATAACTAAACAGGTCTAAAACATAACATAATTGCAACTAAAATAGAGGTAAAGTTTAACTATCCATATAAGAACTTTAACCATGGTCCACATACTGACAATGGAAAACATCCCCAACACACACATAATATGTAAAACAAATAGGCCTATGTATTAATTTACACAATTTAATTTAATATTTCTGATCACTTAGCCTTTTAAGTTAGGCTCTTACTGTTAATAAAAGTGCATGCTGACTTGTTAACACATTTGTCACTTTTATTGCACTTCACAATGTATTTCAGTTTGTTTGTGCACTCAGCTGCCACTTCCGTATTTACTCATATTAAACTTAAACCTCTCTGAACCGCTATAGAGGATGTATGACTAAAAATAACATATTCTTATAATATGTGTGTGTGTAAAATGATATCTGATACAGCGTTTCAACAATGCTACTTGTGTCCAGGATCAGATTTAGCCTGCATTACTATGTCTAATGCTGACAGCAAAGGAAGAGATCGTGCACCCACTGTTTCCTGTTACACTTAAGTCCTGTTTTATGACCTTATGTAAACGCTATATAAAGCATCAAATACGGACTCCGTCTACTAAATGTGTTGCTTTCCATAAACAATGACAGCACATGAAAAATATTCCAATTTAAACAAGCATCATTGTTTATTCCTCCATATAATAGCTGAGTACATCTCATTTATTCACATCAAGATTCACTTAAGAAAATATTTGACCATAGAAATACCACCAGATCTAAGCCAGGACTATAACAGTATTATACCAGGTCAAAGTAAGTCTAAAACCAGATTCTAAAAAGGACAGGGGGAATTCATCAGGTCATAGATATTTAATAACCACTTCCATAGTCTACTAATATCAAATTAATCACTGGATCTTTGAATTTAAATCATCAAATCATGGCTTCAGCAAAGTTTGATACACAAATTATTCTTATAAAAGACAATTTATAAGCTTAAAATCTTAAAATGTGCAAAGACTTCACTTAAGAGACAGTAGGTCAAAAATATAAGAAAGCCCTTTTTGAAAACACAAGCAAAAAGCAATTAAAACACATTTTTAATAATTATAGCTATAAATGAGAAATTTGAGTGAGAGTAGACAGGGACTTACAGCACACCTTCTGCCCAGTAGCTCCTCCAGTTTGTCATTCTCCTGTGCACTCAGCAGGCTGCTCCGAGCACTCTCAGTCTTAGCTTTTGATCCACGGCTCATTGTGTGTTATTTTAATACTTTTTGGGTTTAAAATTATTGTGCGGAGCATTTAAAAAGTCCTCTACCTCCACACCAATGTGAGGACTGTTAAAGGAAGTATCTGTTCTCTGTTTTGCGCATACATCAGTTCAAGCAGGAAATGGACTACCACACTTCTCTAACCCCCACTTTTCTTCTGTCTTTCAGATGCAATGAATGTGCTGCTTCCATTTTGACATCAACAGCAGCACTATTTCAATGTATGCGTTGTGTCAAAAATGTCTCAATAAGTATCGCAACCTTATTATACATTTGTACAAAGATTTTTATTGACAATATTAATTTAAAATGTACAGGAAAAGCAACAACATCACAAATTAAAAGCTGACTGCATTATTTTAACTTAGAAATCCATGATAACTTTGCTCACATTTCATGTCAGACATTTTGAACACTGGATGGGTGTCTATTTGTTTTGACCATTGCAAAATATCAGAAATAATGTTTAGCATCTTTCTTAATGTAGTTCTTTGGTCAGCCTCACTGTATCTGTGTGAAATGTGAAAAATATATTAGCTTTTATACCTCAGTAACTCTTTTCTTTTATACAGGAATGGACCTTTAATGACATGAAGAAGTAGGAATAGTTATAAATAGTTCCCTCAAATATTGAGTCCATGTTTTAAATAATATAACAATAATTTTGTTAATGTACACCGTATAACTTTACATTTCAAGAGTTTTCCATAGAAATCTGCTGAGACTATGGTGGCACAGGCAATCATTAGTTGATTTTATTTATGTAAATTTGGTGTAAGTGGTCACTTTTTGCCTTACTTTAATGGTGCACTATGTCATTTTTCTGGTGAAGGGTCTGCCACCTGCTTGTCCCCATGGAGACAATATTGCTTTGCCTGGAATGTTCCAAAGAATGGCATTAAACTTATCTATCCCCATGGAGACAAGCACCTCAACGTAACAATGTTTTTCAAGTAATCTTTTTTTGCAATAAACACTTGAATTGAATAAATACAAGTGGGGTATGAAATATTGTTAGGCCACACTATACACCCATCTGAAAAGTTACATTGTGCACATTTAAAGCAAAAAGTCTATTCTTATACACCAATTTGTTGCTCAGCTTTTTAGTTTGAGGGGCCACCGTAATCTCTTCTGTTAATAGGAAACACTGATTCATTTTAACAGTAAAAAATTAATGGTCATGGTGACATTTAAATAGCACAAAATACACTTGGCTTTCAGTAAAGATGTTGGGGAAGTAGCTCAGATAAATACTACAGGCAGTGACCAAGCTATTCCATTAGACTGAGTACTGGCCCTGTACCATATTTATGCAAAATTCCAAATAAAACTTTCCACTTGGGTCACGATACACAAATTCCTCCTTCATAGAATGCTTCTTAAAGGCCCCTTTCAGTCATAGTAACTTGTTTTGTCTCTCATGTCTTCTCCCCTGTAATGGGACGGTTCTGCCCTCACATTCACATTATAATGCTTTTCTTTGGTCTGTGCATAGTTTCAAGCATTCAGGTTTGTCTTTAGTTGGGCAGTTGAAGGGTAATTTACAAACAGGGAGAGCTTTGGTTTGCAGTGAAACCGTTCCTTCAGTGTCCGCCTCCACTCCGGGATTCCCCAGTCACCCAGTCTATGATAATGAACGACAAGCTCATGATCATAAAGATGAAGCCAAGTGCAGCAAAGCACGCCGCCTAGTGGAGAAAGAAGGACATTTCAATAGGAATCACAAGAAAAAAATGTCAGTTTTAACGTGATAATGTTCAGCGTGCGTTTTGTTGTTGAAAATATGTCATCATAGTTTTTGTGAATGAAATGTATAAATACATGAAAAATAAATAAATGTGATTATTAAAGTACAATTATGATTGGATGAGAGATGAAAGAGTCCCAGTGCTGAATACTAATTCAAGTATGGGTTTGTTTGTGAATCTGAGGTTCATTAAGCAAAGCAATATAATAATGATGTAACAGTAAAGTCAAGTCAATAATAATATGAAATCTAAAATCAGCATCTTAAGATAATCTGTTACAGTGTATAAGCACAAGGTATGAGTACTAATAAGCAGCGAAGTACACAACAAACTGATTCTCTGTTTATTTTACCCCTTTTGTCTATTATTTTATTTTATTTATTTATTTCAGACAGGGACAGCACACAATTTTTGCATTTTACCTTAACAGGAGAGATGCATTGTACATCAGGTTGTAGCATCCGTGCTAATTTCCACCTGTAGTCCCTGGACAGGTTCATTGATTGATTGTATTTAACTGACCTTGACTATCAACTGTTCATGGAGACCTGTAGCATGTTTTGGTACTGTCACCACATAGGCCAGCTTTTGAATCCTTACTTAAATTTCTCCTGACTGCTTAACCACCTTACCACAGACCTGCAGTTTTGTATTATTAGACATCATAACTTAGTCTCTTGACAAACTTGTTCAAATGCTTAAATAGTAACTGCGAAACCAACTGTCAGGTCAGTGCACCATGAAACCATACCTGAATCTTTTTTCTTGAGAGCATCGGCTCCATCTCTTCAGGGACAATACGGATGTAAAATATTCCTGGCAGGATAAAGATGAGGCTTGGGGCAGAGGTTGCACCTGAAATAACAATAATATAATAATAAATAATAATAACAGAAACAGCAATAGTTTAGTGATCTTGTAACTATCAAAAGAGTAAGCTGATCTGTAAAACTCACCAATAATACCAAAAATGTCACGAATAGAGGGCACAAAGATTACAAGCTGGTTGACAAGGAAGATGAGGGAAAATGCAATTAGAATGTGCCTGGCCCAGTGGAATGGTTTGTCAGGGAATAAGATCTGCTGCACAGCTCTCCGAATCTAAAAGAAAACATAGAATAATGAATAATAATACAATTTCAGAATTTTTAGTTCTGAAAACCATGGATAACTTATGAGCTTAAAAAAGTCAGGTTAAGTCATTTGAAAGGGCCTTAAAGGTTACTGCAGGAGCTCATGGTGGTAAAAAGTTTGCCCAAATAAGCTTGATCTTGATACAATGTTGTGCTTTGTCTAAACTCTTTTCCCTAGAACTTTCACTGCACCTGAGGCCTTGACATTATCGTCATGTGGTAGATAGAGTTAAAAGAAAACCAGCATCAAATGCCAAACTCAGACCTTGAAGCACAGTTATTTTCAAGACACTTCTGCAGCTAAAATTTAAAACTACAAACTAGACACCGTTATTATGCCAAATGCCAACATGCAGTAAAGAGTGTAGGCACTCATGGTGAAGTGTCTTCGTTAGTGTCACAAAGATGGCATGTTGTAGCAGTAGTTGATAGTTTATATACAGATTTGATGAATCCACCTGTCAATCACTCAGAGCATTTTAAAAATGTATAACGCTGACTGTCTCAAAACTGGACAATAGACAAACATTTCCCAATATATAAATATAATGTAAATTAATGGTGCATTATTCTGGTAAAAGGCCCAACACCAATTATTTCCCAGGTGCTTTGCTTTGCCTGGAATGTTCCTGTATTGCCAGGAATGTTTAACATTACACATATCTAGCTTGCATTTACTCAATTACAAGAGTTTCTATTGCAAAAAATAAAATAATTATAATAGATTGAAAAACATGTGTTTTTTTGTGGTGACCATTCCTTTCCATGGATCTGACCTGTAATTTGGCTTAGTTGGCACTGCATGCTTCTTGCCATGGAGTTACATCCCAGGGCAAAAGGGCAAAGCAAAAACTCATAAACTTGTGTGGTAGACATCCACCAGAAAGGTTACACAGTGTATCTTTAAGTGCTAGTGTTTCTTACTGGGAACAGCACCACAGGAACAGTGAGAGTGACAGCCACGAGCACAGCCAGGCGGACACAGAGGATCAGCGCATCCAGAGGGTTCACACGGTTGTACGTGTGCAACAGCTCAGACTCCACCGCTCCTGAAAAACAAAAACAATACTATAAGAGATACAAGCAGCATGGAGGTGTGAAGACTGGAGTTTGGGGAAGAGCAATGAAAATTGAAATCTGCATACAATATCATTTAAATGACATTAAAGAACAAGCACTGTACCACAAAATAAATTAAATAAAATGACATAAATACTAGGAATGGGACAAGCTCTTGTGCTTCAAGACCTCGTGAGACAGAACTGCTACAAGATTGTGCACACATGAGAAAAATGATCTTGTGAAATATAGTTTGCATGCATTTACATTTGGATTGGGCAAAAAAATGGTCCGGTTGAATTACACATTTTTAAGTGCCCGTAGCAGGGCAACAACACAAATATTATATAAAATAAATACAACATTGTAAAGCCAAAATTATGAACTGGATTGCATAATTTACCAAACTAAATTACATCCAATCAAGTCCAACTCATGTCCCGTCTCAACCCACACCTAATAAATACCATTAAAAAATGACAGTTAACAGACAAACATGAAAATAAAATAATTTCAGTTGTCATACATTCATGTCATTCTCCATACAGCAGTTGGACAACTCACCCTTATATAATAGGAAAACTTATGTCATTTTGAACTGAATTTCACTTACTTCACATTTGGTATGTATTGTATATTATATATTTAATTACCATTTATTAATAAATATTACATGGAGCTCATGTTTAATTTTATCACTTAAATTATTATTATTAAGTTGTATTTGCTTAGATTAGTTTCCATTGTATTTTTGAGCTTCTGTGTGTTCTGGAAATTTCCAAATTTTTTAAAGTCTAATTGTAATTTTGAGTTACAGAAGAGTGATATGAACCTTTTGAGACTTACCGAAAAAAGTGAGGTATCCAAAAATGGCAGTGAGCAGGTACATGACAAACATGGCCACGATGGAAATGTTGGCAACCTTCTGCATGCGATTCCGGTTGGCTCTAGGTGGAAAATAACAGTAATATGCGGTTCACATTCATGAAAACATTATCTGCTTTGAAGAGTTTAACTTACTCTCGGAGCTCAGTGTATATAGGGAGAACCTCAGGGTGGCAGACAAAAGCAAATGCCAGAATGGGGATGGTATATGCTGTCTAAAAATAAAGAAATGTTATGATCAATTAGATAAATTCACAAACTAAACCTAATAATTTCTATTATTCACTTGACCTAAGAACTCACTGAAACACAACACAAAACAATATTAATTTAAATATTGACTCTGTAATTTTAAGTCATGTTAGAATCTTGTAGCCTCATGAAAAAACATACCTGGAGTGTTGTTTCATTCACATGTTGGGTAAACATTTATTAACAGTCTATCTACATCTGTGATGTCATGAAGTGATAGTTCTCAAGATAACAACTACCTTTAATCTTTTGGTCATCAGAGACTGGCAATCCCAGGTCTGAAATCATCCAATTATTATTAGTGCATGGAATTTAAAACATAGTGGAGCACTTCCTGTACGACACCATAAGAGTGTTTTCAGTTTGAGAGAAGAGCCTAAATAAGCAGGGTTTGTGTGTTAAACATATGTGAATGAAACAAAACTAATAACATAGTAATATGGGCCCTTTAAATAATCTTGACCTAGAGATTACCTATTACCTACCTATTATTATTTCACTTGCCTGAGAGTTGATAGTGAACATCTTTGCTTCACAAAAATCATCTGCAACAGCAGTATGAGTGTGACTTGTGTTGTGATAATCTGGTGGAGGACAGGGGATGTTGAACTTCTTGTAAATAACCTGTAAGAAACGCCCAGGAATAAAGAAAGACAAATATTGACATCTATGGTGCTGTGCAAATATGTAGCATCCTGTGAATGACTCACTGAAATCAGGAAGAACACCATACAAGAGAGTGAGAAGCCACTTGTGTATCCAAGATACCCTGGAGGGGAAAGGAGCAGAGCGTTTACAGTGGTGTCAGACACTCCACTTTGAAGTGTGTAAATGAACTAAAAGGTACAGAGACATGATAAATGAGAACAATATGGGAATCAAAAAGTGTGTCAACAATGGAAAACATACCAAGTTGTTTCATGAGAGCTAATGGAAGGATGATGCCAGTGCTAACAATGATGATCAAATAGTTTCCATTCAAGAACCACTCGCTGAAGAACAGTAAAAAGATGTTTAAATGAAAACAGGAAAATGTGAAATGACGGAATAAAACAGAAAACCAGACATTGGCCAATCACCAACACTCACCCTGTATTCTCTGTTTTACCAAGGAATGCTTGGATTACCAATGGGAGCTCTGACTTTACAATAAATAGGTAACTGGACATTGCTAAAAAGGAAAACACAGAATCTCCCATTATTTCTTTGACAGATAACACTTGAAAGAACAGTGGTATTATCTCATACCTCCAATATTGTGAACAGTAATAATGACAGCTGCTAACATTTTCCCTGGAGCACCAAAAGCTCTGTTCCCAAGCTGCTCATAGGCCCGGATGCCTGTGCACAAACATACCCACACACGAAAGAACATATGATATGAAGTCTGGATATGCTAACTATAGAAAGTATATTATGACCTATAGGTAACTGTGTCTTACCAACAACCCCTGCACTTTTCAACAGCAGATGGATGGAATATGCTGACAAAATGGCAATGAAGATCAACAAGATTCTGAAATCAACAAAACAGTGGATATCCAATTCACATTGGCTTCAGTATTTTATGCATTGTTCAGTGTTTGTGATCCACTCTTTGAAGAGCTCAGCCTGGTAATTCACACTTTATATCTTGAAATATATTTATAGTTATGGAAAACTAGTAAGTCTTTCAACCACAGTCAACTTACATTCAGAAAGCCATAATTGCCAGTAGAGGCTAAGATAAGAGAAGATATAATAAACCTTAGTTTCTCCCACAATGGGGAAATGCAACACAAAGCTAAAAAGAGCAGAAGAATAAAAACATGGAATCAAAAGGACTTCTATGCACTGACAAGTATAGAAGTTCAAAGTTCAAGAATAAAAACTATAGTTTAAATTTGGTCTGAGTCCTTATTTCTAGCTGTTTGGAACCTGGTTTAATCATAGTTATGACTAAGATTATTTGGTTAATCAATAATCTTAATTATTTCGGTCATGACATAATTGGAAAAAAAAAAAAAAAGGATAGCCATGAAGCAGTAGAAGGTTAATTAATACTCCAAAAAGTACGTTAAATGTAAAGTACTTTTTATTTAACTTTAACTTTACTATTTAGAAAGTTTGATTTCATAAAGCTGTTCACATAAAGGAATGGTTAGCTATTAGATCATTTAAGTTAAATGATAGATTATACTGCTGTTTGGTCAGGTGTCATATTTGTGAATAATCATAAAATCGAAATGTTTCTTCACAGTAATCTTAACACTAAAATGTGATCTTGTGACATCCCTAGTTGCAGTGTTATCCTACTTTGAAAGTAGTTACAAAATAATCAGCTGTCAAAATGCTACTATAACTGAAATAGTATTTGAAGCCAAACACTGAGAATCATTGATTTAACTCTATAATGAAAGTAAAGTACAGGTCACGTAAAAGCATTCTGGAAAAAAGAACAACTCTATTCAGTCCTCTGGTGGCTTTTGCTGCTCCAGCCCCTTGCCACATAGCAGCGCACTGATCCAAGCAGGCGTGTCTTGGAAGTGATCACCACAGGCTAAATTTAACCACTCAAATCTGATTTAAGGAAGCTGCATGTGATGTGGCCCCATTGAAATGGATCAGGCTTTACTGTGTAGTGGCAGTAGAACGGATACTGTGACATTACTGACAGATGCACAATGGGGAACACTACATAGACAGCACCCCTCCCTGTATCACATCCAGCCTAGCAACAAATGCAGTCAGACAATTGGTACGCAAGGCTGGGCTAGTGTCCTTATATGGCCCCACTGTTATAACGAATGGTATCCAGTGACAGGGGAAAACTGTTATGAATTAGGTAGTTACTAGATAGATAGATAAAGCAAGTTTATTTTGGTTGCATAAAATACACAAGTAAAATTATATGATTACACATGATTTTTACATAAAACAGAATCAACTGAAAAGAATTAATCTTAATAAAATATTCATTCATTATCTATTTTTTCATGCTTTATTATGGCTAATTAAGGTGTAGTCATTAAAAGGTGATCCTATTCTGATTTTGTCCATAGACCTTTATGCAATAATGTTATACAGTGTAAATAAATAATAATCATTCTATGCTCTAGCTAGTTTCTTCACAATATATAAAATACTAATTTAAGACTTAAAAATATGAAAGAAATATGTAATAAACACACATACATACATTATAATCCTACTTTTGACTTAAATACAAAATATAACACTTTTTTCTTAGTCTATTTTTTAAAATTATTACTAATGCTGTCATTCTCAGATGAAAGTATATACAGGAAAAGTACTGTAAATATAATATCTTTTAAAAAGAAAAATACCTCTCAAAGTGCTTCAAATAAGAAAGGACCAACTAAAAAGCCCTTGAATATACACAATACTACATTCTATCTATGCTCTGAATGGGCATACTCACATGAAAAGAATTATTCCGGTGTTGGACATGGCAAAAGCCAGTCCCAGGATTCCGCTGCCCATAATGGCGTTACTGAGGTTAAAGACCGACATTCCGAATGAAGTTTTTCCTTCAAACTGTGAAAAATAAAAGTATAAAACATTTAAAACCATTTGTAGCAAATTTAAACCAACAGAGGTGAAGTTGTGACTTACATCTGTAAATTGTGATTCTTTCTTGCTATCAGTTTTATGAGGTAGAAATTCTTCTCGTTCTGCATTAATGGCTTCAAGGCCATCAAAACTATAAACATAAATTAAAACAAATTAGGATTAAGTATATTTAACATAGGTTAATTCATAATTTATGACAAAAACCTTTCTTCTTTGCTGTGTCCATTCATTTTCTGGAGCTCCATTCTGACTGAAGAAAATTTTGCTTCACTGAAATATGTGACGATTAAATAGCTGCAAGAAGAGATACATTATGTTATCTATGATCTATAGAGGTAGTATTTGACATTTGTTTTATGTGTACTACGCATGGGGACTACAGTTCTATTGCAGGAGCCATAAAAATTGTGACCAAGAATTGTAAACATTTACCCATTTGCTGATTTTATGTTGAGGTTTGTTTTCAACTTTTACATTGATTAGAAGTGGGTATTTGAATATAGTTTTAATGCTGTGCAATAACCATAAGGTATACAAAACATGTACAGGTTGTTTATTATTCTAGTATGGTCTGCATCCTCACTGAACAAGTTGAGACAGTAGACCACCCAGCATATAACAATTTACTCCTTCCAAAATTTATAAAAAATGTAAATACTGGTGCAGTAAAGTTATGACTGCATATTGGAAAACAATAACTGTCAGGGAAAAAAACAACAACAACCACCTTTCAACAATTAACAGATAAATTCAAATTAGAGAAAGATGACGTTTTTAGGTATCTAAAGCTGAGACATCATTTCAATGCAAATATTACACTCCAAAACCAGAGAGCGATCCCTTGATTGGGCTTTTTTTAGGTGTCTGTAAAGAAAACTTCTCAACATACTCTGTTTTACAGTCAAGAAAAACAAACTCTACCATATATATTAAACTAAAATGTGAAAAGGAGGCAGGGATCACTTTAACTGATTGGTTAAATATACGTAAAACCACTGCAACAACCTCAATTGGAGGTGAGATATTTCAGTACCCCTAGAATTAAAGAACATCAAGCCAAGAGAGAGGAACAAGGTAATTGTTGGAGAAACTGTGGAGTCATCAGTTGGACATTTTCACATATTCATAATATTAAGCTTTTTACAGGACTGCAATTGTAGGTAAATTGTAATGTATTTTATTTGGGGAAACATACCAACTGGGCTGAAAGAAAAAATATACATTCAGATACTACAAGCAGCCAGCAAGAAGGCAATAATGCGAAAATGGCTACAGGACAAACCTCCTACTATTTCAGAATGGGCTGAAATAATCAACAAACTTTCTAATAAAAATAAAGTTAAAAAAAATGAGACAGTAGAAACAGTTGATTGTTAATTTTATCAGATGAATGTGTTTGTACTGGAAACACTTTATAGCCCTTATAAAAGACAAAGGACAGACCTGCATAAAGCTCTCTCTAATCCTTTACATGAGCATATGTCATAGATGCAGATGACTCCCCCTAAAATGAGTGTGTTTTTGTTCTGTGTGCTGTGGGCTGATGCAGGCATGGGCTGAGGGGTCATGGGACAGTCCGGTCTGTGGGCCAAGCTTAGCCTGAGGACTCTCACTCTTGACCCCAAAGACACTTTCACAAAGCAGTGTGCCATTCCTCAGAGTGCCCAGACGTCCCACTCAAAGAATACCTCTAATAGTGAGTGATCACCGGTCAATGTGTCAGACAAAGACTTTCTGTGTAAAATGGAGTTGTATCTAAATGCAGAGCCTTCCCCCACAACCTTCTTTAGCAGCATATTTGCATGGTTTCCCATGGCCAGTGGCCAAGATACACTGGGCTAAGAAAGTCAGGATCATTTGAGTTATTCTGATCCTTTGACTGCTTATGTCACTTTCTTCTTCAAGGGGACATTTTACAACCACCCACTTCCATTTAAAGGCAAACCAGACAGACCTGAACTACTGAGGTCTCATTGCATTTTTGCAAACATAATAAGGCATTCACACAACACAGACAGTGAAAATGAACCAAGTGTTTGGGTCAGAACTACAGTGCACTTTAGAGTGCTCTCTAAATAAAGTAGGATTGGATTGGATAGTGATTCTCAGAATGATGATCCCCTCTTACGATCATTGACTACACTTTTGTATAACAAAATAAAATCTGTTATTAACAAATACATCAACTGCTTCAAGATTCTTCTTTACAAATAATAACAATAATATTGTGGATTATATTGTGGATTAAATTGAAACACACAGCCTCCTATACACCACATGGCTGCTCCATCTGATGCAAGAGCTACGCACTATTGACAGCCCTTCCCTTCTGCTCCTCCACAAGGACACGCATGCACTTCTCTCACTTACCGGCTTCAGCCTCTGGAAAAACAATGGAATAACTTCCACAAATAAATCCTTAAACTTCCAAAGTCTATATCCACAAACAGAGGAAATCTGAGTTGTCCAGTGTTTACATACAGGACTATGTACAGAACCTTGCTCTTAGTGTCCAGAGCTCTTTGGTAGTGAAGGGAGAGTGAGGCAGATTAGTCACTATGGCGGGAGTAAACGGGAAGTGGGAACACCTACAGTTAACCCTTTGTTTAACTGGTTCAGGTAGACTGAGCTCAGGGGAAGAAACTCAAAATACACCACTCCCACAGGTGTCTACTACATCTCCTGTATTGTTTACACTTACTAATATTTCAACATATAATACAATGTATTAACATATTTAATTCAGTATATTTTGTTGTTAGATTTCAGGTCTTTACAGACATCTCAACATACTATATTGGCCCTTTATGTTCAATTTTAATTGAGTAAGGCAATATCACTATTGTTCATCTGCCTTTTTGTAAACAGTTGACAAAGGGTCAACATTTGTGGGTTTTGCTTCAAATATTTCTCATGAAAACACAATGAATTAATCTATATGGGAAGACTAGATCTAAGCATTATAAATTCTGCAATGACGAAAGTGTAAACACATTTTTTTTTCTATTTGGTGTAATCCCATTCTAATATTACAGGCGGCAGTGGAAGTACGTTGGTTTTCATGTGGTGGCTTTAGTTTCAGCATGGTGAACGCGACAGCCTGTATCCTGTTGGAAGTTAGAGTGATGTTAATTAGCTTAGGAGATAAGTGCTTTTTTAAGATAACCCACATGTGATAGTACTTACAAGTGGAAACATGCTAACACGTTGGCATAAGCTTGACCCCAAATTAACATTAGGCCCAGCACGAAAGAGAGGAAATGGACAACACATGCAACTAGACCAAAATAGAAAGATCCCACAGTTAATCCTCAATGATCTTGGTACCAGCCTAACACTGGTCTTAAGCCTACATTGAGAATTACCAAACCCATTGATTTGGCAATTAATACTGATTACACAGATGCAGAAATGTAATAATAACAGTGTTAAACGGTATAACTGTGCCAATTCCCCATTAGTAACTAACAAATTTAGCTATTTACAAATACCTTGTGAAGCTCACAGTAATTCTTATTGGGGACGGCCTTTTCCACAATATCGACACAGTACATTTAGTTGCATACTATGGAAAATTACAGACAAAACAGTCTCCATGGAGAAGAACAGGTGACAGAACAAAATGTTATACTTCAGTTCACACAAGTGCTGGACAATATGGCAAAAAACAATAAAAATTAAACAAATAAATAAATTCAACCTTAAAGCTACCATTTGTAGTTAGATTGGCTGACCCGCCTCTGTTGTATACTCACACACCACTAGATGCAATCTACATTACTACTATCTGATAGTATGTGCCAACTTTGGCCTGAAGAAGACTAGAGAGTACAGGTGAGTCTGAACGAAGGCCAGGTGAGGAAGGAACAGGTTTCAACGAACAAACAAACAAAAGTTGCGGATGCCAGCTTAAAATTTATGAACATACACAAGACAGACTTTAAATCAGTGACATGTCACAGAAAACAAGTTAAGTTAAATTTAAGTTCAAACTTGGCTCCAAACTGCATGCTCTTTCAGACAGAGCTGTATCTCTCCAGATTATTGTACACAATTTGAAACACTTGGATCTCAATTTGTTTTGATTAACTGCACAGCTCAAGTTCACACCCCACTATTATTGGTAAAATCCACCTGCCATTCAGAGCAGGTGAGGACAGGAGCAGTGGGTACAGATAAGTAAAAGTAGACCTGCATGGATCTGTGTTTGAGTATTGAACTGCATTTAAACAGATATAACAAGGTCTCCAGATAAGAATACATACTTACAATAATTTCATCATATGTAGCCTATTTTTTTAAATTATGGGTCATTCTTACACCAAATGCATGAGAAACACATTGGAGGAAGTTGGGTAAATGCTTTCATTCAACAAAATGTCATAATCGTTACAGACTACTTTCAGTTGGTTGATAAAGTTCAACGGAGTTACACATTTTGTCTCAGCCCAGAAACTCCCTTACTTGCCTTATCTCAGCTTGACATATATGTTCACTGAACAAGTCAATCTTATGTGTGTTAAGTGGAAAGTACCTGTTAAATACAACTTGAATGACAATTGCTTGAAATTGCTTGATGTTTGATGTATTTTCTTGGTCAAAACATAGTTGTTAATAATTTTATTCAGAACCAGTATGTACTACAATTGGCTAGAAGCATTGTTCTCCAATTCAATGGGTGACTGAACTACACAGACTAGACCTACAATACACCGAAATTCAAGCTGTAATTGTTGTAAGCCTCGATAACTCCCTAAAACAGGTCATTTCAAAAGATAGAACTGATTGTATGTATAAAGTCAACATGCAGAATTTTATGTCTAATATTAAATGAAATTCTTCACCAGGTCACCACGTGTATGAGTAGGAAACCGCCATTCCATTCATTCAACTTGTTCCGCCCATAACACGGCTTCTCCCAAAAGCCTACTTACCTTAGGGTATATGCCAGCAGGACCACTCTGAAGTAGTATAGAAGGAGTTATGGGTTTAAATTAAAAGTTGTGGCCTGGATCCACACTGTGCTTTTGTTGGAGTTGTGCTCTTCTCTGCAGCTGTAAGAGAAGAGAAAAAACACAGGGAGGAGATTGCCGCTAACAAAATTTCCTGCCATGTCACAAGTCCCTCCCTTTCCCTTCCCCAGCCACATGTTACATATTATAATACAAGGGTCTTTCTCTAGGAGAAGCGTTTTTAAAATCTGTAATACTGTGTAACCTGGCATCATTATCTTTTCTATGATTTGGTCTTGGTCTATGTATGGTTGTCCCTTTACAAATATAAGTATACCATAATGTAAACACTGGAGTGAAAATAAAGTCTATCCATAAATACAAATTCATCATGTGGTGGTACTTATGGCTAGAATCAGCAGCTGTAATGTTCATCAAATTTGATGAAAACTGCTGTTCTGTTTGTCTGTGTTACATAACGCTATTATTGCCATCTAGTGGGAGAATCAGTTAAGCCTACAAAGTACCAAAACAGATCAAACTGGACTCTGTATATAAAAAACTACTCTTTTATTATTTTATAAAACTATAAACAGGATTGGCAGCATGTAGCATGTCTGAGGCAATATAAACAACAGTAAGTGGGTCGTTCATCATTTCTTCTCAACCCACGCAAAGAAGTTACAGCGAGCCTCGGGGTTGGAAGCATGTCCCTGAGGACGGGCACACACAAAAAACTGCTTGCCAATGTTTGGCCCCTCCTTCTTCACGGTGCGGAGGACACACGGCTCCCCATGGATCTTACAGCATGGAGCAGGAGGAGGGCCCTTCAGCACAGACTTCCAAAACACTGAGCCTTTCTTGGCATCTGAGGTGGGTGTAAGAAACTGTGAGGTTGAACTGTCTACTTTAATAGTATGTCTGTCCTCTTTTGACGCACTGCTGGAACACACTCCTGCAGTATCTGTGACCCTGTGCTTGACCAAGGGCTTTGGAATAGAGTTGACCTCGCCCTGATTAACATTATTTTCACATCGCTTATCAGTCGATTCAATAGAAGAAACAACATTAACAGTCTTGGGTTTAAAAAATGCAAGTAGATTTCCTTGAGGCTTTGTAGTCTTTGTTTTTTTCCCTTTTGGAAGAGCTGAGTCTGCTGGCCTCTTTTCACCTCTTCCAGATGGGTTTACATTCTCTCGCCTCTCCTCCTCTTCTTGAGACAAAGGTAATTCCTCCCTAGGACTGGGCTGAGGTATTTTCTGGTCCATCTTCACTAGAAATCGAGAGAGTTTCTGCTGCTTTCCTGCAAACTCTGGAAGGTACTGTGTACAGAAAGGAGGAGGTTTAGGATTTGGGAGGAGAGTACAGCTCAGCTGTCCCCACACTGGACAGTGATCTGACCCCTCGACTTCAGGCATAATATCTGCTGCCACAAACTTGTCTTTTGCAAGCTGACAATCTGCAAATATATAGTCAATACGTGTGCCGTAGTTAGTCTGCCGCGCACCTGTCATAGTGGACCAACATGTGAACGCATTGGGACGAGTTGAGTGAAAAAAGCGAAACATATCCACAAACTTTCCTCCCCCAGACTGATTCAAAGGGGCCTCATGTTCTTCAGTCATGTCCTCATCTTTTCTGTCTTGATCATCTTGGTTACAGTGTAGAAATCCATTTAGCCATTTCCTCCCAGGGTTTTCTTCAAAATCATCCTAGGTAACACACCGTAGGTTTAATCATTATGTGAAAGATGCACACACAAAACATAGTAGTTTACTTTACTAATTTACTTTATCTAAAATAATTGCAATAGGAAAATGTAGCAACACTTTACTTACAATCTCACTGGGGTCGCAATGATCTATAGGTCTGTGAGATGTGTTTACGTCACCCAAAACAATAACATGGCTGTAAAGAGTAGAAGTAAAGGGTATTTATATTGCTTATTTTATTTGGTATTATATTCAATCTGCAGTCATCTGTAACCAGTGCTTCACCTTCCACTTTTCAGAATAGCTTCAGCTCGGGATTGAAGCAACTTGTAGAACTGCAGCTTAAACTGTTTCCTTTCAGGCTTTTCAGGATCTGCTCTTGGACAGTACACATTTATTACAGTGATGAGTTGTGTCCCACCTTGGCATCTGGTGAAAAAATAAATAATATAATTCACTCTGATTTTATTGTCACACTAGTATTAGTAACTCTTAGTGCGCTTAAAAAGATCAAAGCTGAGGTAATGAGGATAAACACATATGGAAAAGTATGTTATAGTGACTTAGGTGCCAAATACATATATTGCACTTTGAAACATAGTTTGATTTTTCACACATGACAGTAGACACAGAATCAATATTTCTCAGAAGCTGATTGATTTAAAATCTCTTTCAGTGTTTATATTAAAGCAACAGCAATTTGTTCAGAACAGTATTGATGCATAAGCCCTAATTCCTGCCTATGAATGCAGTTATGGAAAACTAAGCCTTACGTGATTCTGTGCTGTGTAATGACTGCACGTCCCTCGTTGTCTAAAAGCTGTAGCTCTTCATTAGAAAACTCTGCGTGATCACCGTAACATTTAACAGCTCCATCGTGGCTGGTCAAGAGGCCCGTGAGCCCCTCCTCTGCTGCACATGGAGTGGCCTGGTCTTTGCAGTAAGTGGCGACCCCTATGAAAGACAAGATTCAATGCAAAATGTGACAGGTGTGTTTATAAATAGATACCAACTAATGTGTAGGCTACAGCATTGTACCTGAATAGCCACTGCGCCCTCGACTGTAGCTGAAATACGAGTTATAGCCATCGACAATCGCCGTTCTTTCGTCAAGCAAGTCTCCTGCAGAAAAAAATGCATGTTTTCTAAGAAGAGCGACTTGTGCATAGCATGTGTTTTGTTCCTAAAACGTGACTTACTCGTAACCTTTGTTTCCTGAACGCAAATTATGTCTGCATCCAGTGAGTCCAGTGCTTTTTTAATGCCACTTCGAAAAGTTCTTATACCGTTTATGTTCCATGTTACGATCTTCATTGTGCAGTTGTGCAATTCTATTATTTAATCTCAGTTTTTCCCACATTAGACATAAGCGCACACCAGGAAGTATAGCGGAAGCCGATGAGTAAAAGCCGGATGTTTTAATTATTCTATTAATATTACATTTATTGTTTAATTATTTGCATTTATAACTGAATTTCAAAGAGCTATTATAGCTGATGAATCGTGGTGGTTTTAAATTAATGTCCCAAAAGCTTTCTCCGGGTAGGCTTGGGTCAATTGCAGTTTGTCTTTCGTGCGCTAGAGTGCGTAATGGTGCTGTCACGTTTTCGGCGCGTTTTTGACACTCGGCCGTACCTCCCGAGCAGAGGCTGAAACAGGAGAACTACACGGGTGGAGGAAGGGTAGGGGCGACAGTCTGTGGCTAAACCAGGCGTCCACAGTTAGGGCACAAGCCATCGCACCTCCTGTATCAGTCCCCGAAGGAAGACAGAGGCGAGCGCATTCAAGACGCTAGTGGAGCGCCTTTACCTAGTTACAACTAATGGGTAAGATGCCGCTCTGTTTCTTTAGGCCGACGGGGCTTTCTGGCTAAGTAGCTTCACCAACATCAAATGGCGTTAAAGGATGAGAATACCATGAGTTGGATAGCGATTGATGATAGGTGCTTCAGGCATGGATCTGGGTAAATTAGCTAACCACAAAGACTAGAAGCTAACCTTGCTAGCTAACATCCTCTAACTCGGATTGACGTAGCAAACAATCTAAATGCTATTAGTCACTTAAATTAGGCTGATGAGTCTCTCGTTCGCTATCCAGTGGTGAATTTTACTGTCGTATTAATAGGTTTATACATCTTAACCATGTGAGAATGTTTATTATTTTGCTATATATGTCCGTGGTTATGTGATGACTAGGGTTGCCATTGACAGAAAGCGTGAATTGAGCTTGCGGTTTTGGTTTGAAGGAAGCTGATGCTGTGTAGTAACACCTTATTAACGCTACATTCATCATTTGGAATCTGACATCCACTGGCTACTAGCATTTGCCTCTTGGGACAGTGATGGGGGTTTTGGGGCTTAAGAGCGCACGCTGCCCCACCCAGACCGTGGTAATCAATTATACATGATCCTTCTGCTGTTTCCTTGACCACTTTGTTTATTACATTATCATTAATGTGCTATACATGTACATCGTGTTAGTTTGTTGTCCATCTTAACCATACTCAACTATTGTGTGCTTAGGTGAGGTCAAGTAATGACATTTGCTATCTTTTCTGACCACGATGAGTAAATGTTCACGTTGTTTCCCATTAATAGAGGAGACTATGGTGCCTCCCTAGAGTATAACGACAGCCTGGAATATATTATCACAAAATCACACTTTGTTGCCCCACTGTATTATAAAAACATTTAAAAATCATTATACTGAGCAAAAAGGACTACTTGAAGATATGCATGGAGGAAAAAGCAACACTTTCACTCCAGAAATTAGATTAAATTAAATTATTCAAATTCTATATGACATGATAGTGTCTATGAACACAATGGGAAACACAAATTAAATTATATCTGTTTTCCAGTGAAGTGATGCCAGTGGAGTGAGCCGGTAAAAGGCTGGAGAGAGCCATGCTGGAGGCAGACTCTGACCCCGATGCCGCTGCTGTGGCAGGAGAGGGGGAGATGGAGCTGGGGAGTGGAGACCTCAAATCTGAAGTGCTTCGGCTGACGTTGGAGCTTCAGGAGGCCACAGAGGAGAAACTGCAGGCTGCGCGCTACGGCCTGGTGGTGTTGGAGGAAAGCTCTGCCCTGAAGAAAAAGCACCAGCAGCTAGAAGAAGAACATGAAACCCTCAAAGTAGAGCTGCAACAGTTGAGAGAGGTGAGCCATGCTGGCGTTACGTTTATTATTGACTTGAAGGTATTGCTTCTTAAGGGATGGTCTCTAATGCTTGTCCTCAACTGTTATATTCTGATTTGTTTAAGCAAATGTTTCTAAAAACAGATAACAGGGTTATTTGCATTGGTTATATGCATTAGTTAAAATGGGAGTTAGTATGTGCTAGACCTTCCTGAATTATATTTTGCTGGTTTAGTAAGATTATTTCTGACATAAATCTTCCAGGACACAAAGAAAAAAATGTGTTCAATTATAAATATAAACAAAGCTGTTATGTCTATGTTTCATCTATTTTACATAATCTCCATAAAGCCAATTTCTTGGCAGTTCACATACCTCGGCTTTGACTGAGTTATAACACAGTGAGGAATGACCCCATCTGTTGGAAATTATATAACCATAATATGATGTTAAGTGTGAACTTAACGTGTTAATTTAGTTCAGATTTTCTGTGTCAGTGAACACGAGTCATAGGGTATTTGTACATTTTGTTTAACAGAAATGTACATTACAGTTGATTATTTCTTTATTGTGATGCAATTTTTTTTAAACTTTGTTTAAAGGCATTTGCAGATTCTGTGAGCAGCCAAAAGCGCGCAGCGGCTGATGGAGAGTGCCGCGAAGAAAGCTTACTGCAGGAGACTGCCTCGAAGGAGGCTGCCATGGCAACTCGCATGGAAGAGATTCAGGCAGAGCTAAAACAGACGCGACTCGCTCTGAGTAACGCTCACGCTGAAATTGATAGACTGGCCGTCCTGTCCACGCAGTTAAAAAAGGTGTGCTCCCTGATTGATATGTGTATTTGTTTCCACTTGTGTGCAGCCGTAACAATGTACTGTCCATAGGAGTGTGAATGTTTGGAGGCTGAGAAAGGCCACCTGAGAGACGAGATGAAGGAGTTTAAAGTGCGTGAGCTGCGACAGTTACAGGACAACAGTGAATTAGAAGAAGAAAACACATCACTGCAAAAACAGGTTTCTGTGCTGAAGGAAAACCAGGTCAGGCCCAGTTTCCTACACAATAGTTTTGCATCACTCATTCTGTACTAAATAATACAAATATTCTTCAGACCAGTAAGCATGAAACTGTTCGTTAATCGTCGCAGGTCGAGTTTGAGTCCATGAAGCTGGAGCTGACCCAGAAGAACGAGGAGCAGGAAGAGCTGAGAGCCCAGCTGGATGAGGCTGCACGGCTGAAGGAGATCGCGGAGCGGCAGCTGGACGAGGCCCTGGAGGCTCTGAGTGAGGAGCGGGAGCAGAAGAACAGTCTACGCAGAGAGCTCTCTGCCCTGACCCTCAACCCCTTTGAGTCCAACCTGGAGCTACATCTGGACCACCTGGACGACAGTCAGGAGGAGGGTCATGGCGGAGAGGCTGAGGGAGAGGAGCAGGACTCTACCTTTAACAACAGTCCTGGGTCTACTCCCGGTTCTGCTAACCCTCCTCACTCTGGGGGCTCCAAAACTAATGGCCTCATCCACCGCTCAGTGCCACGGCGAGCTCCTACCTCTGGGCTGGTGTCAGACCTGCTGAGTGAGCTGCACTTTTCTGACAGCCAGAAACTAAAGCAGCAACTTTTACAGGTAGGAACTCACTGACTTCTGTGATATATATATTTTTATTTTATATGTGTGTAAGAATGGTTTTAATATATAGCACTATATAAACGTATTAATTTTGCATCATATAAACATCATTCGAAAACTGCATATATTTGTGTGTGCATAGGTTGAACGAGAGAAATCTAGCCTGACCAGTAAAGTGGAGGAGCTGCAGATGCAGCTGGTGATGTCAAAACAGGCCCTGAGTCAACACGAGGACAAGGTGGAGGCTCTCACCCGAGAGTTGGAGGCAGTGAGAAACGGCACTCTTCCCAAAACAGAAGGAGATAATGAATCAGAGAATGGAGAAGTATTTGACTATGAAGTGGATACGAAGAGTAAGGAGGTACTTGAAGCCAGGATGCGAGCGGCCAGTGAAGAACTGTTGAAACTCCGAGATGAGCTGTCTCAAGCAGGAGCCCGATACAACAACCTGGAGCAGAGATACAAACAGGAGAAGGAGCGCTGGAGGTCTGAGGCCCAGGAGCTTGCGGATAAGATCCGGCAGTGTATTAAGTCCAGTAAACAAGATCAGGAGCGCATAACTGAGCTGGAGAAAGAGATCGGGGCTACAAGGAAAGTGGCTATTGATTCAGAGGGACATTTGAGTGTAGCGCAGGAAGAGCTGCTGGCCTTCTCTGAGGAGCTGTCGAATCTCTATCACCACATCTGTGTTTGCAACAACATAACACCCAAAAGAGTGACTCTAGACTACTACAGAGGAGGAGGGGGCAGTGGGCGAAGGCTACCTCACCCTCAGCACAGTGTCCCAAAGAAGCGCCCTGATGAAACATTCATCTCCAAAGCTGCAGCGCTGCAGTTCATGGGTGAAGTGGACAGCTGTGGGGCCAGTGGTGACTCCTCCAGTTGCCCAGGGTCCCCCACTCTAGACTTCAGGGACCCCTCAAATGTGCGCAACCTGGTGGCTGTCATACGCTGCCAAATCAAGCATTTACGGGTAAGGAAATGTACTACATATTGCACAAGCATAGTTTTTATATAGTAATATAAAAATATATAGAAAATATAGAAAAATATCCTTTTTATAGAAAACCTTATTGTACTTAAACTTACAAATATTTTGTGAAATCCATGGGATCCTGTTTATACTCAGATTTCTCTCAAGTAATATTGCTTCTGGAGCTGTTGACAATGTCCTCTTTGAACAGAAGCCGACTCTCGTCATAATTGCAGTGGCAGAAAAATCACAATTCAGTTTTATTTCTAAATCATGCATCATAAAATGGTATTCATATAAACTTCCATCCATCCATTAACTTTCATTCCATCATAGAACAGTGTAGCTAGGCTACACTGTGTGAAAACTGTGTGGCCTAGCTAATTACCAGATCAGACTTCTCACTGAACTTCAGTCACAAATCCTGTGCACGCTGTGAGCTTTACTAACACGTGGGTTTGAGTTTGAATGGAGTGGATTAACAGAATTCAAAGTTAACTTTCGACTTTTCAGTAACAAAAATCCTTAAAGAAAACACCAGTATCTTAAACAATTAGAGACTTGATATGTATTAAAGGTGCACTGTAGAACATTTCTGGTGGAGGGTCAGCCACTTTTTGTCCCCATTGACATGTTGCCTGGAATGTCCCATAGTATGGCATTAAACTCATTTATTCAGTTACAGGTATTTGTATTGCTCATAAATGACTCTTTCTATGAATGGAGTCGCTTAACTTGGACTAAAGGTGTCATGCTTGTGCTTGTCATTGTAGAAATAAGTAATAAGTTGCCAGGCAACAGTAACATCTTCATGAACACAAGAATGTGGTAGACTCACCATGAGGAAATTTACCTAGTGCACCTTTTAAGACTCAAAATGCCAATTCAAGTTATCTGAATCTAAATTGTAACTCTTTTAACATGTTTGAACCAACTTTAATGTGTAATTCTTTATCCCGACCACAGGTGGCAGTGGATGTGTGTCGTCAGCGGGGTGCCATGCCATACTCTGGGCTCAGTGCCAGTGTGGAGGCCGAGCGCGACACTGAGAGCCTGATGGAGGAGGTCCTGAAACTCAAGTCTCTTCTGAGCACCAAGAGGGAGCAGATCGCTACACTAAGAACTGTTCTCAAGGCTAACAAACAGGCAAGCCGCAACAAGCACTGATTTAGACCTATAATTTAAACTTTTTTCCAACGTGACTAACATAAGGCACTTACAAATTCCTTAAAGTTAACACTGGTCTTTATATTTTCTTTCAGAGTTTGTTATTGCTTTACATTAATTGATTAGTTCATCACCTTAAAGCTAATCTGTACATAATCCTGCTTTAGACTTGGCAGTATGGATACCCATTATTATCTCTGTCTAGACAGAGGTCTTTTGGCCATTGCCAAGCACTGCATCTCCTCTTTCTACCTGATCATATGACACAAGTGTTAATTCATTTTTGTATTTGAGTCTACTGGTCATTTTAGTCCTTTATATACAGATTGCCCATTTAGAATTTTATTGATTCTGCTCTGAAGTGTTAAAGTATATCACTGGTAAAAATACAGGCAGACTTTTTGCCAACATTGTAATGTTTTCTCTTGTTCTGATCTGAAAAACAGTTAATTAAACATTTTTTGTAATTTACAGACTGCAGAGCTGGCTTTGTCCAACTTGAAAACCAAGTATGAGACTGAAAAGGGCATGGTGTCAGAAACCATGGTGAAACTGCGGAATGAGCTCAAAGCTCTTAAAGAAGATGCTGCCACCTTTTCCTCTCTCAGAGTCATGTTCGCCAGTCGGTAAGTCCGTTAATACCTTCATCTGTGGGATATGAAGTGTGAATGTGGAAGAACCTAAATGTTTCTTCAGTCATTCTTTACCTGGAGTGGCCCTTGTGTTTTGTCCCTCTTCTGCCACTATTTCTGTAATCTGATTACAATACTTAGTGTGGCTGAAGACTGTCAGGTTCACGTGAAGATTACAGCCCACATGCTTTGCCTT